GTGCCATGGCACACTGGTTGAAAAACAGTGTGTTACAGTTTTTCTCAGTCGCTTTGGTGCATTTCTCACATCAGACTTAAACTTCTCAAAACTATTAGTTTGACTTCCACAACATGGAGTGATTGGTGCACATCCTCGTGGCAGTTTCTCCTGTGAACACTTTACAAATGCTTTTGTTCATGTATCAATAACTTTCATACAATTCTGTTTTTTAACATAATCATTTGCTTCTGTCCAGTCAGTCAAAACAAAGGATACTTATGACTTCTGAACAGTCTTTCACTATAAGACCAATAGTCCTAATTTCATTGCTTTGGTCACAAACAAAACTGTTGAACTAGTTCAAAAACATAACTATTACGCTAATTTCATACATTCCTTTATCTTTTTTTTCCTGTAAATCTTTCTTAAATTGAACAATTTCTCAGTGAGGAAGTGTGTGTTTTATTGTTTACATTTGTCACAGTTCTACCATAATGATATTCTGTATGTTTGTTTTATGTACATACATGTAAGTGACTGTATTTTTTACATACACACATACAGTACAGTACAGTACAGTACATACATACAGTACAGTACAGACATACATACAGTACACATACATACACACATACAGTACACACATACATACACACATACATACATACAGTACATACAGTACAGACAGTACAGTACATACATACATACAGTACATACATACAGTACATACATACAAACAGTACATATATACAGTGCCTTGCGAAAGTATTGCTCGCTTGCAATTGACGTCACGTCCGCCTCATTACATATGCGTATCACGGTGGTCGCCGAGCTCGTTGTTCACTAGAGCAGTGTGTCTGAATCTGACTTTTGCATGTGTTGTTTTAAGTTTTTTAACCGATCGAGTCGTGAAACCTTTAATGGATACTTTAGGATTCTTCGTGAAGAGATTGATAAAGGACTCGCACTAAGGACTTTACAAAAAGACGCAGGAAAAGTGGCTCGCTAACATTTCACTGCAAACGCTTTTACCTCAAAGGATTATTTATTTACCCAGCCATGGAGTCACAATGCACAGTTATTACATCCACATTTTTATTTAATGAACTGTCAGGTATGAGTCGGCGTTTTAGATAAACACTGTGAATGTTTGACCTGAAAAGAACACAGCCACAGACGCATTGTTTTGTTGAGAATGAAAAGTTCTTTCATCAATCGTTACTCACACGGCTCTGTACGATGCAGGATGTGTCCTTCAGGACCTCAACTCTGAGTTTCTGAACCCACAGACAGAAGGAAAAGTTGCAGTATCCGTGTTTATCCAAACCTTCAGTTTAGCAGTGCAAAAGCTTGATTGTAACACTAGCTGTGGGTTAGAATCTAAAGTGAATAAAATGACAGTCTAGGATCGTGTCTTTAATTCAGACAGAAGACATGTTTTATTGTCGATGGTAGAGGCATAAACACAGACGTTACAGAATGTAAGTGACAAACAGCGGAGGAATGGAGACTTATTAGCATTATTAGCATGTTAGCATTTGCCGCGGTGCCAGTAGCTTCAACCTTGATATTACCAAAACATGCAGTGGAAAATGTCTGCCTTGTGCATATTGTTAGAATGATGAGTTAGAACGTTCTCCACAGAAGCTTCAAAGCGTCATGAAATATCCAAAAAAGCAAAAAAATACTCGGAAGAGTCGCATTTTCTCCACATATCAGCAGCAACTCTTGCTGACCTGACACCACTTCGTCAGCCGGACGTTTATGCGTCACGTGACTGCGAGCAAGCAATTCGGCCCCCTTGAACCTTTCAACATTTCGCAACATTTCAGGCTTCAAACATAAAGATAAAAATTTAATTTTTTGTCAAGAATCAACAACAAGTGGGACACAATCGTGAAGTGGAACGAAATGTATTGGATAATTTAAACTTTTTTAACAAATAAAAAACGGAAAAGTGGGGCGTGCAATATTATTCGGCCCCTTGCGCTAATACTTTGTAGCGCCACCTTTTGCTGCAATTACAGCTGCAAGTCGCTTGGGGTATGTCTACCAGTTTTGCACATCGAGAGACTGGAATTCTTTCCCATTCTTCCTTGCAAAACAGCTCGAGCTCAGTGAAGTTGGATGGAGAGCGTTTGTGAACAGCAGTCTTCAGCTCTTTCCACAGATTCTGGATTGGATTCAGGTCTGGACTTTGACTTGGCCATTCTAACACCTGGATACGTCTATTTGTGAACCATTCCATTGTAGATTTGGCTTTATGTTTTGGATCATTGTCCTGTTGGAAGATAAATCTCCGTCCCAGTCTCAGGTCTTTTGCAGACTCCAACAGGTTTTCTTCCAGAATGGTCCTGTATTTGGCTCCATCCATCTTCCCATCAATTTTAGCCATCTTCCCTGTCCCTGCTGAAGAAAAGCAGGCCCAAAGCATGATGCTGCCACCACCATGTTTGACAGTGGGGATGGTGTGTTCAGGGTGATGAGCTGTGTTGCTTTTACGCCAAACATATCGTTTTGCAATGTGGCCAAAAAGTTTGATTTTGGTTTCATCTGACCAGAGCACCTTCTTCCACATGTTTGGTGTGTCTTCCAGGTGGCTTGTGGCAAACTTTAAACAAGACTTTTTATGGAGTCTTGTTTTTTTTCTCCTTGCCACTCTTCCATAAAGGCCAGATTTGTGCAGTGCACGACTGATTGTTGTCCTATGGACAGACTCTCCCACCTCAGCTGTAGTTATCTGCAGTTCCTCCAGAGTGATCATGGGCCTCTTGGCTGCATCTCTGATCAGTCTTCTCCTTGTTTGAGATGAAAGTTTGGAGGGACGGCCGGGTCTTGGTAGATTTGCAGTGGTCTGATACTCCTTCCATTTCAATATAATTGCTTGCACAGTGCTCCTTGAGATGTTTAAAGCTTGGGAAATCTTTTTGTATCCAAATCCGGCTTTAAACTTCTCCACAACAGTATCTCGGACCTGCCTGGTGTGTTCCTTTGTCTTCATGGTTCTCTCTGTGCTTTAAACAGAACCCTGAGACTATCAAAGAGCAGGTGCATTTATACGGAGACTTGATTACACACAGGTGCATTCTATTTATCATCATCAGTCATTTAGGACAACATTGGATCATTCAAAGATCCTCACTGAACTTCTGGACTGAGTTTGCTGCACTGAAAGTAAAGGGGCCGAATAATATTGCACGCCCCACTTTTCAGTTTTTTATTTGTTAAAAAAGTTTAAATTATCCAATAAATTTCGTTCCACTTCACGATTGTGTCCCACTTGTTGTTGATTCATGACAAAAAATGAAAATTCTATATCTTTATGTTTGAAGCCTGAAATGTGGCGAAATGTTGAAAGGTTCAAGGGGGCCGAATACTTTACATACATACATACATACATACATACTGTATGTATGTATGTATGTATGTATGTATGTATGTATGTATGTATGTATGTATGTATGTATGTATGTATGTATGTATGTATAGTGTCACCGAGATCTGACTTTTTTACATTGAAAACACAGAGAGAGTAAACTTTCACAATGAAAACATGACTAAGTCATGTGACTGTTGTTCCTACTCAATGGTGTTGGGACTTATTATTTTGACGACATAGACAGTTTCATCGACATGAAGACTTGCTTTTGAGGAATTACCTTTTCATTTTGAGAAAGTGACGCACTTTTGCAGGTTTTCCACAAGGTTTTGCAGTTTGAACTAATTGTTCTGAGAAATGCAACAACAGTTGCGCAAATGTGAAGAATGATGTGAAAAATGCACCAAAGCGACGGAGAAAAACTGTAAAAGATAAAGTCCTCTAAGACCACTGCAGATATAGATAGAAAGATAGAACGATAGATACTTTATTGATCCCTGTAGGAGAAATGCAGGTGTCCAGTAGCAGCAAAAATAAAAATTCAATTGATCATTCTAAAAAGCTAACAATAGCAATAATCAGCCACAGCCCTTCAGGTCACAGCAGCAGAGGTGGAGTAGCCTCTGGGTGGAGCAGGACGGGTCAAAAGGTGGAGCAGCCGCTTGGTTTGGACCGTTTTCTCTGCTCTGCTCCAAAGTAAAATGTTAAATGCTTCATTAACATTTTTCAAAAAGTTACCATGAATCCTCTCTGCTCTGGTTTGGACCAGTGTAAAACCATGAATCCTCTCTGCTCTGGTCTGGACCAGTGTAAAACCATGAATCCTCTCTGCTCTGGTCTGGACCAGTGTAAAACCATGAATCCTCTCTGCTCTGGTCTGGACCAGTGTAAAACCATGAATCCTCTCTGCTCTGGTCTGGACCAGTGTAAAACCATGAATCCTCTCTGCTCTGGTCTGGACCAGTGTAAAACCATGAATCCTCTCTGCTCTGGTCTGGACCAGTGTAAAACCATGAATCCTCTCTGCTCTGGTCTGGACCAGTGTAAAACCATGAATCCTCTCTGCTCTGGTCTGGACCAGTGTAAAACCATGAATCCTCTCTGCTCTGGTCTGGACCAGTGTAAAACCATGAATCCTCGCTGCTCTGGTCTGGACCAGTGTAAAACCATGAACACTGTACTGCAGCTACATCTCAGATGGAAAAAAACAATAAAAATAAAACTTGTAACGCACAAAACAACAACTGTTTCAGAGACACTTAGGACGTTTTCCAGAACATTCAAAAGATGTAGTGATAGAGGGCGATACACAAATACATTGAATTGAACAGTGGCTTTCAACACGGGTCAAAACACATCTTCCTACTAGAATAACTAGTTGAACTTTGGTCTCTGATGTCGTGTGGATGACTATTGTCTGAAACATTCCCATCAACACAAGAGTCTAACTCTTACCTTTGAGAGCTGACAGAATCTGGGTGTGATAGAAAAACCAGTTGGACCTGACATAGCGGCGTCATCAGATTCCACCTGTGATTACTGCAAACACACAAACAGCACATCAATATAGTCTCATCAGAACGAGTGAGACAGAGGAGCAGACAGGAGCTTTCGGTCCGAAGATCCGCAGTCTGTTCTGATGATCATGAAGACCTTTGTGCTGATCCTGGTTCTACTGTGTGTCTTCATCCACACAGGTACGACACCAGCTTTGGTCTGGTTCTCATTTTATATCAATGTTATTGAAAACAAAATATCTACATGCATATACATACAAACATACACACAAACAAACACACACACACAAACACACACAAACACTAAACCCTGTTCTGTTCTCCACAGCTGAAGGACTTCAATGCAGACGTTGCTATGGTTACTCGTCATGTGATCAAACACCACAGATATGTTCAGGAAGTCAAACGTTCTGCTTCTCACGTGCCACCACAGGTAAACGCTTCTGTTGATACTCAATGTTACTGATCGATAATTACCTCTGTCTGAGAGGTGAGGTGATCACCAGCGTTTGTCTGTGATCCACACACCTCAAACATGTATGGGAGGATTTGAAGGAAATTACACAATGGCTCAATGCACAAAGAACTACATTTTCTCAACTAGAATGGAAACGGGCCTCTGGGCAGAGGTTTGTCTTCTACGAGTGCTTTATACTTTATACAGTGGGCAGCGGAAAGTCACATCCTTCATCCCAGAGGCAGAGGATGGTTGGCAGCCTCCTCGGTGGTAAGGCTCCGGGAGCATGAGATTGAAGGCGGATCGGTGCAGCGGGTGCAGTGATGCAGTCGTTGTATCGGATTCAAGTGGTAAAAAGGTCAATCTCTGACTGAAAGAACGAGATCGCGAATACAAGCGGTCGTAATACAGTGTCTATGGAGACAACTATTAAAAACGCAGACTCAGAAAGATATCCCAACTGTTTTCTCTTGTGTCACAGATTACATTGGTTATGAGAGGTACACATATCATTATGTGGAGAAGGGATGTGCGTCACATGACATGTGCACGTCGACCGGCAGTCACGTGGTGTCACATGACATTGGTTATCGGGCTCATGTCACCAACACCACCTGCTGCGACACCGACAACTGCAACGATGCTGTCGCTGACTGTGAGTCTTCATCACATCTGCAACTTTTACTCTGAGAAAAACTGATTTTACTCTGATTCCTCACATGGTCTCAAAGACTACTCTGTGCTAACAGCAGAGGGCCGCAATTAGCCCGTGGACCTCAGTTTGGACACGACTGCACTTGTGTGTGATGGTTTTTCTGTACATTCCTGTTTTGTCATCTGTTTCCCCTTTGTCTCCTTTGTGGTTCTCCCGGTTTTCCTGTATTAATGATACAAAAGTGTTAATAAGCTTCATTATCATGTTTGGGCGGTAAACCTTTTGTCCAGATGCGGACAGACTGACCACAATCCGTTCCCTGCTCCTCTCTTTTCCTAAAAACTATAATTTTCTCTTTTACTGTGGTCAGATTTAGCTTGAGGTTCTATATTGAGCTATACCATATATAAAGTTCAGAAAATCCGAATAGAGTCAAAACTGTTTTACAATTGGTGTGAGTCTAAAGTGGCCCTGTGACTAAAATGTTTAGACACCCCTGCACTCGAGCATATATCACACTACTACACCCTTTGTAACTGGTCAGTGTTCAAACGTGTTGCAGCTCTGGTCCTGTTGCTCTTGGACGTTCACTGTAATCCCTTGTTTCTCAAATCTAGATTCGATGCCGTCGCCCCCTGCTGGACCTCTGCAGTGCTACGGCTGTGACCCCTCCAGGCACGAGTGCATTGCCAACGTGACCTGCCGTGACCACGAGTCCTGCTTCCAATCATGTAACCTCCAGTTGTAAAAGAAGAATCAAAGCCTTTTTTCTGTTGATGGTGGCTCTATAATATAGACTGTATCAAGTCCCGGTGATCCAATATGACGCCCTATAGGGCACTGTCCGGTTTCCGAAATGTGCTAAAAATAGCTCAGATGACTGCGCATGTTTCGGACAAACATTGTCCGACTCCGTTGAGTTCTACTGTGTTCTCCACATACGCGTGTATTTATTTGGGCTAAATCATTGAATCATGGTGACAACAAAACACTGCAGTTATGGTGCAGTGTTTGAAAGTATGAAAGTAACATTCAACCCGTCCGTTAAACCACACCATCGGACCAGACCAGGACCAGATCAGACCAGGACCAGACCAGGACAAGTGCAAGAGGTGGGTTCGTGCTTGTGGTCGGCAGAATTTCTCTCATGAAAATGTTAAAAAGGACTCATATTTGTTCAAAACACTTGGTCTGTGAAGCTGGACCAACTGTGGAGCATCCAGGTCCAGTCCTACAGTAGCTACGTTTAGCTGGGACTGGACCTGGACCGTCTGGATCAGGTCCGTCTGAGCTCTTCTGAATGTAGTTAGCACAGACTTTCTCTTTATACCATTTACTTCCATCAATCCATATTAGTATTGTTTGTCCTAATCCAGAAAGTATACAATTCTCACACCTTTTTTTCAACGTTGTGACTTTTTTTCAACTTCGTGACTATCGGAAAATAAGTACAGACGAAGCGCGTCGGGGTCCGCTTATTATACTGCTTTGTACGAACTGAACACACAAAATAAACTTCAGTCACTATTAATGCCAAAAGGTTTATTTAATGAGTGCAAAGAAAATAGTTCAAAGGTTTTCCCGTGGCAGGTGAGTAACAGTGAGGCTGGTTAACCTACTTCAAAAAAGCGATCGCTTTAGTCGCATTAAAAAAGTATTTTTGTCATGAAAACTTTAACAGATACTTCTGAAAACCTCTGTGCACGTGTGTTACTAATGTATGTATAATATATTCTCCCATTAACATTTACATGTGTTGATTGTCATTTGTGTTTATTGAGTGTGGCTCTGATAGTTTCTCTCAGAGACAGTAGTGGCGTAGCCCGTTGTGACCCATGGATCTATTATAATATCAGCTGACAGTAACTAACTAATGATCAAACTAATTACAAAGTGGACATTACAAAAAACAACTTGATAAATGAAAGTTAATCACAGCTAAATAAACAAAGAAGGCGCTAGCATTGAATTTAAATGACAGGATAATATTAGCATAATCCTCACCATTACCTTTTTATCAACTCAAACTTTCTACCAGTCACAGACCACGACATTCAAGCTAACGTTATAATTGGTCTACACTATGGTCCCTGATGGTTTGATGGTGGAATTTTGCCCCTGGTACATCATTTTCGTCTAAAGTGACAAGCGGTATATGATTCATTTCGGCAGTGTTTGTCCGAAACAGAGCTGGGACCCTTCCCCACTGACGGGGACCGAAAGATTAGCAGAACTCGCCTATATTTGGGCATCGTCTGGTCCTCCCGGTTCTTTGCAGTTGACGAGCTCCCATGATGCTTTTCGCCAAATACGTGTGTGTGGCTCTCATGCACGTGCACAGAGGGGCTCAGCTGCGTTTGACCAATCAGAGCTGATCAGAGCAGAGTCAGAGCGGGAAGAAAAAAAACAGAAAAAAGTTCAGGATGACAAGGGACACTAAAATCCCCATAAAATACCATCTTTGTGAAAGCTGTAGGTTCTCTGTCAGGTTCTCTGTCAGGTTCTCTGTCAGCTGAGGTCAAGCTGTTTTAGTTGGCATTACTTTTCTGTGTAGCCCTCGTGAATTTAGTCTTCAGTACCACAGCGCCCCCTGTGCCCATAGGCGGGACAGCTATAAGCTAGCTAATACCCAATTCAGTTTTTATTTTAGAACAATGGACTGTATACTAGGGATGTACCGAATCCAGGTTTTTGGGGTTCGGCCGAATACCGAATCCACTGGTTAAGATTCTGCCGAATCCGAACCCGAATACCGAATCCTATTCCATCCTCAGTCCATTTATGTTTCATATGCAAATGTTTTAACAGCGGCGGTGTTGTGTACCGTTTAGGGTCCTTACCACCACGAGACAAATGGGCATTGCAAATTGGACATGTAGCTCGACCAGAATCTATTATTATAACATTTATAATAATCCCGTTTATCATTAAACACAAATACATTCAGTTCACAGCAGTGTAAAGCTTCAGAGATAAAGTACATATATTACTGTGCATGTCATGTAGAAATAAGAGCTAAAGCACCACACATGCATAAATAGCTTCCACTGGTTCAGCTCAAAACATTACATATATGGACATTTGAGAAACATGGACTCACCAACTCTGCTTCTACGGTCATACGCAGCTCAGATGACAAGTACCTGGCACTGGTAATCGGCTCCATAAAGTTGGTGAATAGGCAGTTAGTTTATGATCCATCAGAACCGCATTACAGGTGAAAACAAGAATCATAACATCCCCTCGCACCGGCATATGACTAGAGCTAATTGGACCGCGGGGATCACATGACCAGGAAGAGACCTCAGCGCACCCGAAGAGGAACAGAGAGCAAGAGGATATAAACCTCCGCTAAAGTGCATGTTTATTTACACTTCCGAACGAATCTGATTTCCGTGACAAATCCAACAGCCACAGCGTAAGTGTAAGTGCAGGGTTCGGGTTCGGTGGGGAAAAATTCTAAGGTTCGGCCAGAAACCGAACCCCGTCAAAAAAGCCAATATTTGGCCGAATCCGAACCCAAATCCTGGATTCGGTACATCCCGACTGTATACAGATGGTTTAATGCTGTTTAATGCCCTCAGGGTTATATTTTTCAGCCAGGTTTTAAACTGCTGTAAAGTAAAGATGCATGTACAGTTTTAGTCTTGCTCTATATAACGCACAATGTTAATAACTCGAGCAAACCCTTGGTGATATGGATCTCATTTGTTATCTTCAGTCCCAAGCCCTTACAGCAGCCATTGGTTATATTATGGCTGCATCTCGGAGAACGTGTGCAGCAACAGCAGTCTCTCTACACTCGTCGGCCATGTGTCCTGCTGCAACACTTCCCACTGCAACGTCCCAGGTGCGTTGTCCGTCCTGAGAACCCTTGTGACTGATTCAGGATTTTGTACATCAGGAACATCTGTAGTTGCACAGTGTGTGGTCTGCAGCCACACGGTAAATTCAACACATCAACACACAAACCAACCTCACTCACAAACATTTGCAGGTCGGACACGAAATCTCACAAAACCTTGTTTTAGTGAAATGTACACAAAGGTGTTGGTCCAAGAGGTGGAGGCTGGACTTTCTGCACCATGACCAGTGTTGGTCTGGGAACAGACTCATAACTGCATGACGTTCTGAGACAGTTTTATACATACAGTATATAACACCAGCACAATGAGAAATAGTTACTTACAACATAAGCACTTGAACACAACACACTCGAAATCCCAAGTTCACCAAATACAGAGCACGTGAAGGCAGCCTTAGGTCAGAGTTTTCCTCTCCTGCAGTGTGTTCACCCTGTCCTCTCTCTCACAGAGCTGGGGATTCAGTGCCAGACATGTGTGAATTACGACTGCTCTTCTCAGCGTTCGGTCTTCTGCTCCAACGACGTAACAATGTGTCACAGCCAGTACCGCTCAGGTAACTACGCTCTATTCTCATTGGTCAGTGCAGTAACAACAGTGAGCCTCAGCACACAAGATGTCTGCCCATCCAAGCAATCAGCCTCTGGTCCCGGTCTGAGTTGTACGTGCGCCGTTTGTGGTAATTTGGCAGACCGAGGCGAACACATGAGCATTCTGACCAATCAGGAAGCTGATGCACAGCCTGCTGAGAGTGTTTAGAAAGAGATGATGACGACCTGCACATGCAAAAATTACAGAAACGAGAAAAGTTAGTTGCACAATTGTGTGGAATTGTGTAGAAAGTCGATGTGCAGGATGACCAGGGACACTAAAATCTACTGAACCCAAACTTTGCGAAAGCAGTAGGTTCTATGAAGCTTAGAACAAGCTTTCATTCGACAGGATGAAGAATGCTATGCAAGTTTTAAGTCCAGAAGTCTGGTACGAATGTTTTTGTCACAAAATGATTTATTTATCAATCCAGGTGCTAAATCTGCCCCTGGTAAACTATGGATGTATACAGACCAGACCAGACTAAGCCTCCTACATGTCCTCTCTTTGTCTGAATCGTATTTTGAGTATGAGAATAAGCCGACAGTCCCTCGGAGCAAGGACTTGTCCAGTATTTTGGTGTTTTTGTTTCAGTGCAATCAGTACCAAATGTTTTCTCTTTCAGATACCTATCCTGATGGGACTTATACACATTTAGAGAAGGGTTGTGCTTCCTCTGAGAAGTGCCCATCTACAGGAAGTCACTTGAGTTCACATAACATTGGTTCTGGGTCGAGTCTCATCTACACCTCCTGCTGCGACACAGACAACTGCAACAATAATGACACTGCGGTGAGTCTATGCCAAATCCAATCCAATCCACTTCATTTATATAGCACATTTTATAAAACATGTTTCCAAAGTGCTGCACAGAAAAAGTAACAGATTAAAATATACAAGTGAACCTGTATCTCATGTTTAAACACACACTAGTGATGCGCGGGTCAGCTTTTTTTACAAACCCAACCCGCCCGCCCCAAATTAAAACTCAACCCGGCCCGCCCAACCCGAGAAGTGCGCATTTCTCAACCCAGCCCGCCTCAAACCAGCAGACGTTAAAACTACTGTTTTGATTGTCAAAATCAAAGGACAACTATTTTTCAGATAAGACAACATAAAATGTTTGTTTTACAGGACGGATCAGGACATTTTTAACATTTCCTTAAAGATGACATTTCCATGGGTAGGAAACAAATAACTATTAATGTCAGGCTGGTTTTTGAAAATGGAAGCGCTTGTGGCCGAGATGCATAAAACGGCTTTTGCCACAAGTGATTAACTGGGTAATCACGTTGTTGATCTTTTCAAAGAGAGAATATCGTTATGGAAAGAGAAACTATTGGTAATATAACACGGAACGTGATCATCTGCCTCAAACAGCTCCTCTGGTGTGTCTTCCTACTCAGCAAAAAACCAACGCCTTTTCTCTGGTATCCCTAACATTTATAATAAATACATAAATATAATAATCATAAAATAATTTAGCAAGCTGTGAACTGTTTATTTTATAACTCCACACGGCTCCTCCCCTGCCAAACTTCTCTTGCTGCTCTCCATCTCCTCCGCAAACCACTAAATAATGAGGAAAAGGAAATATTCACTCAATCTATTTTGAGACGTTACACATACCGTATTAATAATATAGGCTAAGCCCACGTAACACCTGTAGGCCGCGTATTTACGCACCTGCTTTAGGCCTCTGCTGTGATGCCCACACTGTCATCAGTCTACGCGCCTCTGTGTGGATTACACGTCTTTCATCGGGCTGGAGCATTTTGAGGCGTTTAAAACGGGGAGTCAGGAAGGTGGCAATCTTTTGGTGCTTTCAGGCAGGATCATGCGTTGCATCGGCTTTCAATGCAAAGTCTATGGTGATGCGCGTTTGAGCGTCAAAATGCACGAACATCTCGGGAAGCACGAAAGGACTGTTCAGTAGAGACGCACGGACTGCTCTGTAGAGATGCACGGACTGCTCTGTAGAGACGCACGGACTGTACAGTAGAGACGCAAGGACTGTTCAGTAGAGACGCAAGGACTGTTCAGTTCATTAGAGACGCACGGACTGCTCTGTAGAGACGCACGGACTGTACAGTAGAGACGCAAGGACTGTTCAGTTCAGTAGAGACGCACGGACTGTTCAGTAGAGACGCACGGACTGTTCAGTAGAGACGCAAGGACTGTTCAGTAGAGACGCAAGGACTGTTCAGTTCATTAGAGACGCACGGACTGTTCAGTAGAGTTCAGTAGAGACGCACGGACTGCTCTGTAGAGACGCACGGACTGCTCTGTAGAGACGCACGGACTGTTCAGTAGAGACGCACGGACTGTTCAGTAGAGACGCACGGACTGTTCAGTAGAGACGCAAGGACTGTTCAGTAGAGACGCAAGGACTGTTCAGTTCATTAGAGACGCACGGACTGTTCAGTAGAGTTCAGTAGAGACGCACGGACTGCTCTGTAGAGACGCACGGACTGCTCTGTAGAGACGCACGGACTGCTCTGTAGAGACGCACGGACTGCTCTGTAGAGACGCACGGACTGTTCAGTAGAGACGCACACGGACTGTTCAGTAGAGACGCAAGGACTGTTCAGTTCATTAGAGACGCACGGACTGTTCAGTAGAGTTCAGTAGAGACGCACGGACTGCTCTGTAGAGACGCACGGACTGCTCTGTAGAGACGCACGGACTGTTCAGTAGAGACGCACGGACTGTTCAGTAGAGACGCAAGGACTGTTCAGTTCAGTAGAGACGCACGGACTGTTCAGCAGAGACGCACGGACTGTTCAGCAGAGACGCACGGACTGCTCTGCAGAGACGCACGGACTGTTCAGCAGAGACGCACGGACTGTTCAGCAGAGACGCACGGACTGTTCTGTAGAGACGCACGGACTGTTCTGTAGAGACGCACGGACTGTTCAGCAGAGACGAACGGACTGTTCAGCAGAGACGCACGGACTGCGCGGGAAAGTCGAAGGGGAGGAGCAGGAGCGAAAAATACAAGCCCACAGGAGATAAACTTTTCTCAACCTTTCCTCGGGACGTTCGTGCAGCAACCAATCAGAGAGCTGCAAAGTAGTCACGGGGACATTAGTGGTCTGAGCGAGACCACTTCAGCAGACTGAACATACTGTAAACAGCCAAAACGGGCTACACCAGGGTTGACAATGAGGGACTGTGTGCTTGTGAATATTTGCATTTTCATGCTCCCGTGACTTTATGCAACTGCTTCGAGCGTGTTGACCGATGCGGAAGTATCGTTTCACAATAAAATGAACTTATTGCGCACCTCCGTGGACACATACTACTGATATATAAAGTCCTTGGAGCTGTATTATTGGAGAAGATCTTTACACGAAAAGCCGCTAGCATAACTCTTCACTTCCGGCGCTGATCAGGACGTTCTGGTCTGAAGACCCCTGCGTCTGAAAACTAGAGAATGCGCGTCTGGTGAGCGGGGCTTCAGCGTTTGAGCGTTTGCGGTCTGAAAGCACCATTACGGGTGTTTGTCACGATGCATTTTTCGTCCCTGCGCGATTGCAAATGTACTCAAGACTCCCACACCGTGGCTCACACATATATATATATATACATATATATATATATTATATATATATATATGTACAGTTGTGTGCGAAAGTCAGGGCACCCCTTTAAAAACAGCATATTTTATATATTCAAACATTTATATTCATATTTACTGTCTCTCTGGTATATGGGTAAAAAAGACAATATTATCAGGAAACATTAATGCATAGTTACATTTTATTTTATAAACTGAACAAAATTACAAAAATTAAAAACATAATTTTGGCATGTGCAAAAGTCGGGGCACCCTGAGAGTGCCAGATTCTTTTTACAAGCTCAGACCTCTACCAGCTCATTGGTCCTGAAGCATGTGTCAACAATTGTCATTAGGGAGTGCCAGCTGGTGCCAATTTGAGGGTTTCTTAAATACGGCGACTCCACAAACCTTGTACAAACACTCAGCAACCATGGGTTCCTCTAAGAAGCTGTGTAAGACAGAAAAAATGAAAGTAATTGATGCCCACAATGCCGGGGAGGGCTACAAGAAGATAGCAAAGCGTTTTCAGCTTGCAGTTTCCACAGTGCAAGGCATAATTAAGAGATGGCAGGTGAGGGGAACTGTGGAGGTCAAGAAGAGATCTGGAAGACCCAAGGAAACTCTCGGAGAGAACAGCTCATAGTCTGGTCAGAAAGGTAAACCAAAACCCACATTTGACTTCAAAAGACCTCCAGGAAGATTTAGCAGACTCAGGAGTGGTGGTGCACCCTTCCACTGTGCACCGATACTTGCACAAACAAGACCTTCATGGAAGAGTCTGCAGAAAAAAACCTTATCCACGACCTCATCATAAAATACAACGTCAAAAATATGCAACAGAACATCTACAGAAGCCTGATGAAGTTAAAATAGAACTCTTTGGCCACAATAAGCAAAGGTATGTTTGGAAAAAAAAAGGAGCAGCATTTCATGAAAAGAACACCTTGCCAACTGTTAAATATGGGGGTGGATCCATCATGCTTTGGGGTTGAGTTGCAGCCAGTGGGACAGGAAACATTGCTCGGGTGGAGGGAAGAATGGATTCAATTAAATACCAGCAAATTCTGGAGGCAAATATCACAGCATCTGTAAAAAAGCTAAAGCTGAAAAGAGGATGGCTTCTACAACAGGATAATGATCCTAAACATACATACCTCCAAATCCACCATGGACTAACTCAAGAAACGCAAGCTGAAGGTTTTGGAATGGCCTTCACAGTCTCCCGACTTAAACATCATCGCAAATCTGTGGGTAGATCTTAAAAGAGCTGTGCATGCAAGACGTCCTAAGAATATTGCAGATCTGGAAGCCTTTTGCAAGGAAGAATGGGGGAAAATCCCAAATAATAGAATCCAGAAACTTGTTTTTGGCTATAAAAAGCGTTTACAAGCTGTGATATCTGCCAGAGGGGGTGTTACTAAGTACTGAAGGTACTGATGCTGTAGAGTGCCCCGACTTTTGTACATGCCAAAATTATGTTTTTAATTTTTGTAATTTTGTTCAATTTATAAAATAAATGTAACTATGCATTAACGTTTCCTGACAATATTGTCTTTTTTCCCCATGTACCAGAGAGACAGTAAATATGAATATAAATTTTTAAATATATAAAATATGCTGTTTTTAAAGGGGTGCCCTGACTTTCGCACACTGTATATATATAATTATATATAGGTGGATCAGGAGCATTTTGACCCGGCCCACCCGCACCCAACATGACTCATATTTTAGAGGCATCCAACCCGCCCGCGGGACCCGAGGGTTTACCGCGGGTTTCGGGCCGACCCGCGCATCACTAACACACACACATAGTTTACATTTAAGGACACACATAGTCCATAAGTTAAAGCTGCACTTACTGACTTTGGGATTTTGAAGCCGCGAACTCGCTGGCCTCTCTCTTTCTGCTCCCCTCCCCACACCCTATCGCCCCCAAGCTATCGCCCCCCACACACACCCACTGTTGTTGACAGAGCTAGCGTCTTCCAATATGGATAATACATGGATATGGATTTGCACGTGGATGGCGTGACCATAGAACGATAGAACCGGGAAGCGCGGAGGAACGGGACTTTCTTTTGGATGGCTGTTTCGCTCTGTAAGCAGAAACAGGTGACGAAGACACAAGCTTCAGGTTAGCTCCTCGGCTTGTTGTGCTAACTCAGCCGTCTATGCTAACGGACCTGAAGATTTTTCACAAAAGTGGGGGCTAGTGGTTTGCTGTGATTGGTCACAATCTGCGACGCAAAACACATCTCTTCCTTGTTTCATCAAAACTCGATCTAACATATAGTGTCACGCCAGTTTTCCTCTCCTGCAGTGTGTTCACCCTGTCCTCTCTCTCACAGAGCTGGGGATTCAGTGCCAGACATGTGTGAATTACGACTGCTCTTCTCAGCGTTCGGTCTTCTGCTCCAACGACGTAACAATGTGTCACAGCCAGTACCGCTCAGGTAACTACGCTCTATTCTCATTGGTCAGTGCAGTAACAACAGTGAGCCTCAGCACACAAGATGTCTGCCCATCCAAGCAATCAGCCTCTGGTCCCGTCTGAGGTGTACGTGCGCCGTTTGTGGTAATTTGGCAGACCGAGGCGAACACATGAGCATTCTGACCAATCAGGAAGCTGATGCACAGCCTGCTGAGAGTGTTTAGAAAGAGATGATGACGACCTGCACATGCAAAAATTACAGAAACGAGAAAAGTTAGTTGCACAATTGTGTGGAATTGTGTAGAAAGTCGATGTGCAGGATGACCAGGGACACTAAAATCTACTGAACCCAAACTTTGCGAAAGCAGTAGGTTCTATGAAGCTTAGAACAAGCTTTCATTCGACAGGATGAAGAATGCTATGCAAGTTTTAAGTCCAGAAGTCTGGTACGAATGTTTTTGTCACAAAATGATTTATTTATCAATCCAGGTGCTAAATCTGCCCCTGGTAAACTATGGATGTATACAGACCAGACCAGACTAAGCCTCCTACATGTCCTCTCTTTGTCTGAATCGTATTTTGAGTATGAGAATAAGCCGACAGTCCCTCGGAGCAAGGACTTGTCCAGTATTTTGGTGTTTTTGTTTCAGTGCAATCAGTACCAAATGTTTTCTCTTTCAGATACCTATCCTGATGGGACTTATACACATTTAGAGAAGGGTTGTGCTTCCTCTGAGAAGTGCCCATCTACAGGAAGTCACTTGAGTTCACATAACATTGGTTCTGGGTCGAGTCTCACCTACACCTCCTGCTGCGACACAGACAACTGCAACAATAATGACACTGACGGTGAGTCTATGCCAAATCCAATCCAATCCACTTCATTTATATAGCACATTTTATAAAACATGTTTCCAAAGTGCTGCACAGAAAAAGTAACAGATTAAAATATACAAGTGAACCTGTATCTCATGTTTAAACACACACTAGTGATGCGCGGGTCAGCTTTTTTTACAAACCCAACCCGCCCGCCCCAAATTAAAACTCAACCCGGCCCGCCCAACCCGAGAAGTGCGCATTTCTCAACCCAGCCCGCCTCAAACCAGCAGACGTTAAAACTACTGTTTTGATTGTCAAAATCAAAGGACAACTATTTTTCAGATAAGACAACATAAAATGTTTGTTTTACAGGACGGATCAGGACATTTTTAACATTTCCTTAAAGATGACATTTCCATGGGTAGGAAACAAATAACTATTAATGTCAGGCTGGTTTTTGAAAATGGAAGCGCTTGTGGCCGAGATGCATAAAACGGCTTTTGCCACAAGTGATTAACTGGGTAATCACGTTGTTGATCTTTTCAAAGAGAGAATATCGTTATGGAAAGAGAAACTATTGGTAATATAACACGGAACGTGATCATCTGCCTCAAACAGCTCCTCTGGTGTGTCTTCCTACTCAGCAAAAAACCAACGCCTTTTCTCTGGTATCCCTAACATTTATAATAAATACATAAATATAATAATCATAAAATAATTTAGCAAGCTGTGAACTGTTTATTTTATAACTCCACACGGCTCCTCCCCTGCCAAACTTCTCTTGCTGCTCTCCATCTCCTCCGCAAACCACTAAATAATGAGGAAAAGGAAATATTCACTCAATCTATTTTGAGACGTTACACATACCGTATTAATAATATAGGCTAAGCCAACGTAACACCTGTAGGCCGCGTATTTACGCACCTGCTTTAGGCCTCTGCTGTGATGCCCACACTGTCATCAGTCTACGCGCCTCTGTGTGGATTACACGTCTTTCATCGGGCTGGAGCATTTTGAGGCGTTTAAAACGGGGAGTCAGGAAGGTGGCAATCTTTTGGTGCTTTCAGGCAGGATCATGCGTTGCATCGGCTTTCAATGCAAAGTCTATGGTGATGCGCGTTTGAGCGTCAAAATGCACGAACATCTCGGGAAGCACGAAAGGACTGTTCAGTAGAGACGCACGGACTGCTCTGTAGAGATGCACGGACTGCTCTGTAGAGACGCACGGACTGTACAGTAGAGACGCAAGGACTGTTCAGTAGAGACGCAAGGACTGTTCAGTTCATTAGAGACGCACGGACTGCTCTGTAGAGACGCACGGACTGTACAGTAGAGACGCAAGGACTGTTCAGTTCAGTAGAGACGCACGGACTGTTCAGTAGAGACGCACGGACTGTTCAGTAGAGACGCAAGGACTGTTCAGTTCATTAGAGACGCACGGACTGTTCAGTAGAGTTCAGTAGAGACGCACGGACTGCTCTGTAGAGACGCACGGACTGCTCTGTAGAGACGCACGGACTGTTCAGTAGAGACGCACGGACTGTTCAGTAGAGACGCACGGACTGTTCAGTAGAGACGCAAGGACTGTTCAGTAGAGACGCAAGGACTGTTCAGTTCATTAGAGACGCACGGACTGTTCAGTAGAGTTCAGTAGAGACGCACGGACTGCTCTGTAGAGACGCACGGACTGCTCTGTAGAGACGCACGGACTGCTCTGTAGAGACGCACGGACTGTTCAGTAGAGACGCACGGACTGTTCAGTAGAGACGCAAGGACTGTTCAGTTCATTAGAGACGCACGGACTGTTCAGTAGAGTTCAGTAGAGACGCACGGACTGCTCTGTAGAGACGCACGGACTGCTCTGTAGAGACGCACGGACTGTTCAGTAGAGACGCACGGACTGTTCAGTAGAGACGCAAGGACTGTTCAGTTCAGTAGAGACGCACGGACTGTTCAGGCAGAGACGCACGGACTGTTCAGCAGAGACGCACGGACTGCTCTGCAGAGACGCACGGACTGTTCAGCAGAGACGCACGGACTGTTCAGCAGAGACGCACGGACTGTTCTGTAGAGACGCACGGACTGTTCTGTAGAGACGCACGGACTGTTCAGCAGAGACGAACGGACTGTTCAGCAGAGACGCACGGACTGCGCGGGAAAGTCGAAGGGGAGGAGCAGGAGCGAAAAATACAAGCCCACAGGAGATAAACTTTTCTCAACCTTTCCTCGGGACGTTCGTGCAGCAACCAATCAGAGAGCTGCAAAGTAGTCACGGGGACATTAGTGGTCTGAGCGAGACCACTTCAGCAGACTGAACATACTGTAAACAGCCAAAACGGGCTACACCAGGGTTGACAATGAGGGACTGTGTGCTTGTGAATATTTGCATTTTCATGCTCCCGTGACTTTATGCAACTGCTTCGAGCGTGTTGACCGATGCGGAAGTATCGTTTCACAATAAAATGAACTTATTGCGCACCTCCGTGGACACATACTACTGATATATAAAGTCCTTGGAGCTGTATTATTGGAGAAGATCTTTACACGAAAAGCCGCTAGCATAACTCTTCACTTCCGGCGCTGATCAGGACGTTCTGGTCTGAAGACCCCTGCGTCTGAAAACTAGAGAATGCGCGTCTGGTGAGCGGGGCTTCAGCGTTTGAGCGTTTGCGGTCTGAAAGCACCATTACGGGTGTTTGTCACGATGCATTTTTCGTCCCTGCGCGATTGCAAATGTACTCAAGACTCCCACACCGTGGCTCACACATATATATATATATACATATATATATATATTATATATATATATATGTACAGTTGTGTGCGAAAGTCAGGGCACCCCTTTAAAAACAGCATATTTTATATATTCAAACATTTATATTCATATTTACTGTCTCTCTGGTATATGGGTAAAAAAGACAATATTATCAGGAAACATTAATGCATAGTTACATTTTATTTTATAAACTGAACAAAATTACAAAAATTAAAAACATAATTTTGGCATGTGCAAAAGTCGGGGCACCCTGAGAGTGCCAGATTCTTTTTACAAGCTCAGACCTCTACCAGCTCATTGGTCCTGAAGCATGTGTCAACAATTGTCATTAGGGAGTGCCAGCTGGTGCCAATTTGAGGGTTTCTTAAATACGGCGACTCCACAAACCTTGTACAAACACTCAGCAACCATGGGTTCCTCTAAGAAGCTGTGTAAGACAGAAAAAATGAAAGTAATTGATGCCCACAATGCCGGGGAGGGCTACAAGAAGATAGCAAAGCGTTTTCAGCTTGCAGTTTCCACAGTGCAAGGCATAATTAAGAGATGGCAGGTGAGGGGAACTGTGGAGGTCAAGAAGAGATCTGGAAGACCCAAGGAAACTCTCGGAGAGAACAGCTCATAGTCTGGTCAGAAAGGTAAACCAAAACCCACATTTGACTTCAAAAGACCTCCAGGAAGATTTAGCAGACTCAGGAGTGGTGGTGCACCCTTCCACTGTGCACCGATACTTGCACAAACAAGACCTTCATGGAAGAGTCTGCAGAAAAAAACCTTATCCACGACCTCATCATAAAATACAACGTCAAAAATATGCAACAGAACATCTACAGAAGCCTGATGAAGTTAAAATAGAACTCTTTGGCCACAATAAGCAAAGGTATGTTTGGAAAAAAAAAGGAGCAGCATTTCATGAAAAGAACACCTTGCCAACTGTTAAATATGGGGGTGGATCCATCATGCTTTGGGGTTGAGTTGCAGCCAGTGGGACAGGAAACATTGCTCGGGTGGAGGGAAGAATGGATTCAATTAAATACCAGCAAATTCTGGAGGCAAATATCACAGCATCTGTAAAAAAGCTAAAGCTGAAAAGAGGATGGCTTCTACAACAGGATAATGATCCTAAACATACATACCTCCAAATCCACCATGGACTAACTCAAGAAACGCAAGCTGAAGGTTTTGGAATGGCCTTCACAGTCTCCCGACTTAAACATCATCGCAAATCTGTGGGTAGATCTTAAAAGAGCTGTGCATGCAAGACGTCCTAAGAATATTGCAGATCTGGAAGCCTTTTGCAAGGAAGAATGGGGGAAAATCCCAAATAATAGAATCCAGAAACTTGTTTTTGGCTATAAAAAGCGTTTACAAGCTGTGATATCTGCCAGAGGGGGTGTTACTAAGTACTGAAGGTACTGATGCTGTAGAGTGCCCCGACTTTTGTACATGCCAAAATTATGTTTTTAATTTTTGTAATTTTGTTCAATTTATAAAATAAATGTAACTATGCATTAACGTTTCCTGACAATATTGTCTTTTTTCCCCATGTACCAGAGAGACAGTAAATATGAATATAAATTTTTAAATATATAAAATATGCTGTTTTTAAAGGGGTGCCCTGACTTTCGCACACTGTATATATATAATTATATATAGGTGGATCAGGAGCATTTTGACCCGGCCCACCCGCACCCAACATGACTCATATTTTAGAGGCATCCAACCCGCCCGCGGGACCCGAGGGTTTACCGCGGGTTTCGGGCCGACCCGCGCATCACTAACACACACACATAGTTTACATTTAAGGACACACATAGTCCATAAGTTAAAGCTGCACTTACTGACTTTGGGATTTTGAAGCCGCGAACTCGCTGGCCTCTCTCTTTCTGCTCCCCTCCCCACACCCTATCGCCCCCAAGCTATCGCCCCCCACACACACCCACTGTTGTTGACAGAGCTAGCGTCTTCCAATATGGATAATACATGGATATGGATTTGCACGTGGATGGCGTGACCATAGAACGATAGAACCGGGAAGCGCGGAGGAACGGGACTTTCTTTTGGATGGCTGTTTCGCTCTGTAAGCAGAAACAGGTGACGAAGACACAAGCTTCAGGTTAGCTCCTCGGCTTGTTGTGCTAACTCAGCCGTCTATGCTAACGGACCTGAAGATTTTTCACAAAAGTGGGGGCTAGTGGTTTGCTGTGATTGGTCACAATCTGCGACGCAAAACACATCTCTTCCTTGTTTCATCAAAACTCGATCTAACATATAGTGTCACGCCAGTTTTCCTCTCCTGCAGTGTGTTCACCCTGTCCTCTCTCTCACAGAGCTGGGGATTCAGTGCCAGACATGTGTGAATTACGACTGCTCTTCTCAGCGTTCGGTCTTCTGCTCCAACGACGTAACAATGTGTCACAGCCAGTACCGCTCAGGTAACTACGCTCTATTCTCATTGGTCAGTGCAGTAACAACAGTGAGCCTCAGCACACAAGATGTCTGCCCATCCAAGCAATCAGCCTCTGGTCCCGTCTGAGGTGTACGTGCGCCGTTTGTGGTAATTTGGCAGACCGAGGCGAACACATGAGCATTCTGACCAATCAGGAAGCTGATGCACAGCCTGCTGAGAGTGTTTAGAAAGAGATGATGACGACCTGCACATGCAAAAATTACAGAAACGAGAAAAGTTAGTTGCACAATTGTGTGGAATTGTGTAGAAAGTCGATGTGCAGGATGACCAGGGACACTAAAATCTACTGAACCCAAACTTTGCGAAAGCAGTAGGTTCTATGAAGCTTAGAACAAGCTTTCATTCGACAGGATGAAGAATGCTATGCAAGTTTTAAGTCCAGAAGTCTGGTACGAATGTTTTTGTCACAAAATGATTTATTTATCAATCCAGGTGCTAAATCTGCCCCTGGTAAACTATGGATGTATACAGACCAGACCAGACTAAGCCTCCTACATGTCCTCTCTTTGTCTGAATCGTATTTTGAGTATGAGAATAAGCCGACAGTCCCTCGGAGCAAGGACTTGTCCAGTATTTTGGTGTTTTTGTTTCAGTGCAATCAGTACCAAATGTTTTCTCTTTCAGATACCTATCCTGATGGGACTTATACACATTTAGAGAAGGGTTGTGCTTCCTCTGAGAAGTGCCCATCTACAGGAAGTCACTTGAGTTCACATAACATTGGTTCTGGGTCGAGTCTCACCTACACCTCCTGCTGCGACACAGACAACTGCAACAATAATGACACTGACGGTGAGTCTATGCCAAATCCAATCCAATCCACTTCATTTATATAGCACATTTTATAAAACATGTTTCCAAAGTGCTGCACAGAAAAAGTAACAGATTAAAATATACAAGTGAACCTGTATCTCATGTTTAAACACACACTAGTGATGCGCGGGTCAGCTTTTTTTACAAACCCAACCCGCCCGCCCCAAATTAAAACTCAACCCGGCCCGCCCAACCCGAGAAGTGCGCATTTCTCAACCCAGCCCGCCTCAAACCAGCAGACGTTAAAACTACTGTTTTGATTGTCAAAATCAAAGGACAACTATTTTTCAGATAAGACAACATAAAATGTTTGTTTTACAGGACGGATCAGGACATTTTTAACATTTCCTTAAAGATGACATTTCCATGGGTAGGAAACAAATAACTATTAATGTCAGGCTGGTTTTTGAAAATGGAAGCGCTTGTGGCCGAGATGCATAAAACGGCTTTTGCCACAAGTGATTAACTGGGTAATCACGTTGTTGATCTTTTCAAAGAGAGAATATCGTTATGGAAAGAGAAACTATTGGTAATATAACACGGAACGTGATCATCTGCCTCAAACAGCTCCTCTGGTGTGTCTTCCTACTCAGCAAAAAACCAACGCCTTTTCTCTGGTATCCCTAACATTTATAATAAATACATAAATATAATAATCATAAAATAATTTAGCAAGCTGTGAACTGTTTATTTTATAACTCCACACGGCTCCTCCCCTGCCAAACTTCTCTTGCTGCTCTCCATCTCCTCCGCAAACCACTAAATAATGAGGAAAAGGAAATATTCACTCAATCTATTTTGAGACGTTACACATACCGTATTAATAATATAGGCTAAGCCAACGTAACACCTGTAGGCCGCGTATTTACGCACCTGCTTTAGGCCTCTGCTGTGATGCCCACACTGTCATCAGTCTACGCGCCTCTGTGTGGATTACACGTCTTTCATCGGGCTGGAGCATTTTGAGGCGTTTAAAACGGGGAGTCAGGAAGGTGGCAATCTTTTGGTGCTTTCAGGCAGGATCATGCGTTGCATCGGCTTTCAATGCAAAGTCTATGGTGATGCGCGTTTGAGCGTCAAAATGCACGAACATCTCGGGAAGCACGAAAGGACTGTTCAGTAGAGACGCACGGACTGCTCTGTAGAGATGCACGGACTGCTCTGTAGAGACGCACGGACTGTACAGTAGAGACGCAAGGACTGTTCAGTAGAGACGCAAGGACTGTTCAGTTCATTAGAGACGCACGGACTGCTCTGTAGAGACGCACGGACTGTACAGTAGAGACGCAAGGACTGTTCAGTTCAGTAGAGACGCACGGACTGTTCAGTAGAGACGCACGGACTGTTCAGTAGAGACGCAAGGACTGTTCAGTTCATTAGAGACGCACGGACTGTTCAGTAGAGTTCAGTAGAGACGCACGGACTGCTCTGTAGAGACGCACGGACTGCTCTGTAGAGACGCACGGACTGTTCAGTAGAGACGCACGGACTGTTCAGTAGAGACGCACGGACTGTTCAGTAGAGACGCAAGGACTGTTCAGTAGAGACGCAAGGACTGTTCAGTTCATTAGAGACGCACGGACTGTTCAGTAGAGTTCAGTAGAGACGCACGGACTGCTCTGTAGAGACGCACGGACTGCTCTGTAGAGACGCACGGACTGCTCTGTAGAGACGCACGGACTGTTCAGTAGAGACGCACGGACTGTTCAGTAGAGACGCAAGGACTGTTCAGTTCATTAGAGACGCACGGACTGTTCAGTAGAGTTCAGTAGAGACGCACGGACTGCTCTGTAGAGACGCACGGACTGCTCTGTAGAGACGCACGGACTGTTCAGTAGAGACGCACGGACTGTTCAGTAGAGACGCAAGGACTGTTCAGTTCAGTAGAGACGCACGGACTGTTCAGCAGAGACGCACGGACTGTTCAGCAGAGACGCACGGACTGCTCTGCAGAGACGCACGGACTGTTCAGCAGAGACGCACGGACTGTTCAGCAGAGACGCACGGACTGTTCTGTAGAGACGCACGGACTGTTCTGTAGAGACGCACGGACTGTTCAGCAGAGACGAACGGACTGTTCAGCAGAGACGCACGGACTGCGCGGGAAAGTCGAAGGGGAGGAGCAGGAGCGAAAAATACACGCCCAATAAACTTTTCTCAACCTTTCCTCGGGACGTTCGTGCAGCAACCAATCAGAGAGCTGCAAAGTAGTCACGGGGACATTAGTGGTCTGAGCGAGACCACTTCAGCAGACTGAACATACTGTAAACAGCCAAAACGGGCTACACCAGGGTTGACAATGAGGGACTGTGTGCTTGTGAATATTTGCATTTTCATGCTCCCGTGACTTTATGCAACTGCTTCGAGCGTGTTGACCGATGCGGAAGTATCGTTTCACAATAAAATGAACTTATTGCGCACCTCCGTGAACACATACTACTGTTATATAAAGTCCTTGGAGCTGTATTATTGGAGAAGATCTTTACACGAAAAGCCGCTAGCATAACTCTTCACTTCCGGCGCTGATCAGGACGTTCTGGTCTGAAGACCCCTGCGTCTGAAAACTAGAGAATGCGCGTCTGGTGAGCGGGGCTTCAGCGTTTGAGCGTTTGCGGTCTGAAAGCACCATTACGGGTGTTTGTCACGATGCATTTTTCGTCCCTGCGCGATTGCAAATGTACTCAAGACTCCCACACCGTGGCTCACACATATATATATATTAGTGCTGTCCAACGATTAAAATATTTAATCGCGATTAATCGCATGAATTTCATAGTTAACTCGCGATTAATCGCAAATTAGTCACACATTTGCGTGCTGTGTGCAATTGCTTTTTTTATTGAAAACAATGTGTAGTGTTATATTACACACTAACATTTGATGCAAAATCATCAATAAATGGATGACAAAATAAATAATTGGTAACAAAAAGCCCCTTCAATGTGTGTGTGCGTGTGTGTGTGGGTGTGTGTGTGTATGTGTGGGTATAGACCATAGACTGTATAGAAACATCATGGTGTCATTATGATGATGATAAACAATCTGTAAATATTTTGTAAATTTGTTCATGTAAATACTCTATGCTGTTTCTCTGTTTACTTTCGGTATATCTATGACTGTATACTGTTTGCTTGTATTGCCTTTTTTATTTAACCCCTCCCCCCATCTCCCACTTCATGTCCCCCCCCCCCCCCCCCCCCCTTCTATGTGCCCTTCTGGGTTTCTTCTTTGGCCCCCTGTATCTCCAACTACATATTGTTTGTAATCTCTGTCTACAATGTATCTGAACTAGTCCTTTTCTTTGTTTCTATCTTTTTTTCTGTATATGTGTTTGTCTGCAATAAAAAGTAAAAAAAAAAAAAAAAAAAAAAAAAAATTTTTTTTTTTTTTTTTTTTTTTTTTATCGCGCGATAAAAAAAATGACGGCGTTAATATTGATTTGCGTTAACGCGTTAATAACGCGCTATTTTGGACAGCCCTAATATATATATACATATATATATATATTATATATATATATATGTACAGTTGTGTGCGAAAGTCAGGGCACCCCTTTAAAAACAGCATATTTTATATATTCAAACATTTATATTCATATTTACTGTCTCTCTGGTATATGGGTAAAAAAGACAATATTGTCAGGAAACATTAATGCATAGTTACATTTTATTTTATAAACTGAACAAAATTACAAAAATTAAAAACATAATTTTGGCATGTGCAAAAGTCGGGGCACCCTGAGAGTGCCAGATTCTTTTTACAAGCTCAGACCTCTACCAGCTCATTGGTCCTGAAGCATGTGTCAACAATTGTCATTAGGGAGTGCCAGCTGGTGCCAATTTGAGGGTTTCTTAAATACGGCGACTCCACAAACCTTGTACAAACACTCAGCAACCATGGGTTCCTCTAAGAAGCTGTGTAAGACAGAAAAAATGAAAGTAATTGATGCCCACAATGCCGGGGAGGGCTACAAGAAGATAGCAAAGCGTTTTCAGCTTGCAGTTTCCACAGTGCAAGGCATAATTAAGAGATGGCAGGTGAGGGGAACTGTGGAGGTCAAGAAGAGATCTGGAAGACCCAAGGAAACTCTCGGAGAGAACAGCTCATAGTCTGGTCAGAAAGGTAAACCAAAACCCACATTTGACTTCAAAAGACCTCCAGGAAGATTTAGCAGACTCAGGAGTGGTGGTGCACCCTTCCACTGTGCACCGATACTTGCACAAACAAGACCTTCATGGAAGAGTCTGCAGAAAAAAACCTTATCCACGACCTCATCATAAAATACAACGTCAAAAATATGCAACAGAACATCTACAGAAGCCTGATGAAGTTAAAATAGAACTCTTTGGCCACAATAAGCAAAGGTATGTTTGGAAAAAAAAAGGAGCAGCATTTCATGAAAAGAACACCTTGCCAACTGTTAAATATGGGGGTGGATCCATCATGCTTTGGGGTTGAGTTGCAGCCAGTGGGACAGGAAACATTGCTCGGGTGGAGGGAAGAATGGATTCAATTAAATACCAGCAAATTCTGGAGGCAAATATCACAGCATCTGTAAAAAAGCTAAAGCTGAAAAGAGGATGGCTTCTACAACAGGATAATGATCCTAAACATACATACCTCCAAATCCACCATGGACTAACTCAAGAAACGCAAGCTGAAGGTTTTGGAATGGCCTTCACAGTCTCCCGACTTAAACATCATCGCAAATCTGTGGGTAGATCTTAAAAGAGCTGTGCATGCAAGACGTCCTAAGAATATTGCAGATCTGGAAGCCTTTTGCAAGGAAGAATGGGGAAAAATCCCAAATAATAGAATCCAGAAACTTGTTTTTGGCTATAAAAAGCGTTTACAAGCTGTGATATCTGCCAGAGGGGGTGTTACTAAGTACTGAAGGTACTGATGCTGTAGAGTGCCCCGACTTTTGTACATGCCAAAATTATGTTTTTAATTTTTGTAATTTTGTTCAATTTATAAAATAAATGTAACTATGCATTAACGTTTCCTGACAATATTGTCTTTTTTCCCCATGTACCAGAGAGACAGTAAATATGAATATAAATGTTTAAATATATAAAATATGCTGTTTTTAAAGGGGTGCCCTGACTTTCGCACACTGTATATATATAATTATATATAGGTGGATCAGGAGCATTTTGACCCGGCCCACCCGCACCCAACATGACTCATATTTTAGAGGCATCCAACCCGCCCGCGGGACCCGAGGGTTTACCGCGGGTTTCGGGCCGACCCGCGCATCACTAACACACACACATAGTTTACATTTAAGGACACACATAGTCCATAAGTTAAAGCTGCACTTACTGACTTTGGGATTTTGAAGCCGCGAACTCGCTGGCCTCTCTCTTTCTGCTCCCCTCCCCACACCCTATCGCCCCCAAGCTATCGCCCCCCACACACACACCCCTGTTGTTGACAGAGCTAGCGTCTTCCAATATGGATAATACATGGATATGGATTTGCACGTGGATGGCGTGACCATAGAACGATAGAACCGGGAAGCGCGGAGGAACGGGACTTTCTTTTGGATGGCTGTTTCGCTCTGTAAGCAGAAACAGGTGACGAAGACACAAGCTTCAGGTTAGCTCCTCGGCTTGTTGTGCTAACTCAGCCGTCTATGCTAACGGACCTGAAGATTTTTCACAAAAGTGGGGGCTAGTGGTTCGCTGTGATTGGTCACAATCTGCGACGCAAAACACATCTCTTCCTTGTTTCATCAAAACTCGATCTAACATATAGTGTCACGCCAGCACAAATCTGCGATACTTTTTCTTCAAAAGGATATATATCCCAATGCACTACATGGACATGGATAGCATTTTAATACGAAAATAAAGTCAGTTAGTGCAGCTTTAATGACAATCCTGTTCTGTTCATTTTCAGTGCCCCCTCTTGGCTCTCTGCAGTGCTACGGCTGTGACATTCATGAGGATCACTGCACTGCCAACGTGACCTGCCGTGAACATGAGACCTGCTTCAAATCCTGTAACTTCCATTTGTCAAAGTCATGTTTGTGTCTGTGTCAAAAACATGTATGTATCATTTAAAGTGCACTTTACGACCTGACGAGAGTGAATAATTCAGACTTATGATGGACATGATGTTTTTAGCCTTCGCATAATGTTCAGTCTGTTAACTTATTTACTTTCTGCCTTTAGCTTGAGCAGCCAAGGTAAACATCTACAGTGCCTTGCGAAAGTATTTGGCCCCCTTGAACCTTTCAACACATTTCAAGCTTCAAACATATAAAAATTACATTTTTTGTCAAGAATCAACAACAAGTGGAACGAAATTTATTGGATAATTTAAACTTTTTTAACAAATAAAAATCAGAAAAGTTGGGCGTGCAATATTATTCGGCCCCCTTGCACTAATACTTTGTAGCGCCACCTTTTGCTGCCATTACAGCTGCAAGTCGCTTGGGGTATGTCTATCAGTTTTGCACATCGAGAGACTGGAATTCTTGCCCATTCTTGCTTGCAAAACAGCTCGAGCTCAGTGAGGTTGGATGGAGAGCGTTTGTGAACAGCAGTCTTCAGCTCTTTCCACAGATTCTGGATTGGATTCAGGTCTGGACTTTGACTTGGCCATTCTAACACCTGGATACGTCTATTTGTGAACCATTCCATTGTAGATTTGGCTTTATGTTTTGGATCATTGTCCTGTTGGAAGATAAATCTCCGTCCCAGTCTCAGGTCTTTTGCAGACTCCAACAGGTTTTCCTCCAGAATGGTCCTGTATTTGGCTCCATCCATCTTCCCATCAATTTTAGCCATCTTCCCTGTCCCTGCTGAAGAAAAGCAGGCCCAAAGCATGATGCTGCCACCACCATGTTTGACAGTGGGGATGGTGTGTTCAGGGTGATGAGCTGTGTTGCTTTTACGCCAAACATATCGTTTTGCATTGTGGCCAAAAAGTTGATTTTGGTTTCATCTGACCAGAGCACCTTCTTCCACATGTTTGGTGTGTCTCCCAGGTGGCTTGTGGCAAACTTTAAACGAGACTTTTTTATGGCTATCTTTGAGAAATGGCTTTCTTCTTCCCACTCTTCCATAAAGGCCAGATTTGTGCAGTGCACGACTGATTGTTGTCCTATGGACAGACTCTCCCACCTCAGCTGCAGTTATCTGCAGTTCATCCAGAGTGATCATGGGCCTCTTGGCTGCATCTCTGATCAGTCTTCTCCTTGTTTGAGATGAAAGTTTGGAGGGACGGCCGGGTCTTGGTAGATTTGCAGTGGTCTGATACTCCTTCCATTTCAATATAATTGCTTGCACAGTGCTCCTTGAGATGTTTAAAGCTTGGGAAATCTTTTTAAATCCGGCTTTAAACTTCTCCACAACAGTATCTCGGACCTGCCTGGTGTGTTCCTTTGTCTTCATGGTTCTCTCTGCGCTTTAAACAGAACCCTGAGACTATCAAAGAGCAGGTGCATTTATACGGAGACTTGATTACACACAGGTGCATTCTATTTATCATCATCAGTCATTTAGGACAACATTGGATCATTCAAAGATCCTCACTGAACTTCTGGAGTGAGTTTGCTGCACTGAAAGTAAAGGGGCCGAATAATATTGCACGCCCCACTTTTTTTATTTGTTAAAAAAGTTTAAATTATCCAATACATTTTGTTCCACTTCACGATTGTGTCCCACTTGTTGATTCATGACAAAAAATTTAAATTTTATATCTTTATGTTTGAAGGTTCAAGGGGGCCGAATACTTTCGCACGGCACTGTATCTAGTTTTATAATTTGTAATTTTACAAATGACTTATCTGTATGTATCAATCCAAGATGGATTGTGGGGCAAAAACCCAGGACTAGTGGGAGTTCTGAGTCCATGCAGCAGGACTATTGGTCGGTCTCAAAAAGGTTCCAACCAACCGTCCGGCGCCTCAGAAGAGGAAGCAGTGCTTTGCCACAGGGTTCGTACAGCTTTTGAAGTGTAAAAATCAAGCACTTTCAAGGAAAAAACCTCCATTTAAAAAAATATACATAGCCCAAGAAGGCGTTGTGGTATAACTCACTGATATAACATGCTGCGACTCTGACTGGGAGCACTCCAGTCTCCCAGTCTTCACTTTAAACAACTTCAGCTACAGCTTATCAAATGAAATGCGTGATCTCAGTTCATTTCTTTGAGACTGGTGTGAGCTAATATCATGTTTAGACTATAACCCCCAAGCTAACGTTACCTCAAACAAAACATATCGGTTGCTAGCCTAGCGTTAGTTATTCATGTTGTAGGATAGCGATAACTTTGTCAATGACCTTTGACTGTAAGTGCCGCCCATCGTATGTCACTGATGTCCCTGCTGCAGACTGTGCACTATCTTTGCTCCAAGCATTTTCCCGACTTTCAAGGATCTGTACGAACCCTGTTGCAAACACCGTTCACAGTGCGGGTGGAGAACTGCTGACCTCCACGGGGGATATTGTTGCCGGTAGAAGGAATACTTTGAGGTTCTCGATTCTGAACTGATCTTAGACCATTGTTGAGGACAGTTTGAGCTGATAACCCCCGAGTTAGAACATTAAAACATGAGCTTCATTTTCACTTTCAGCCACACACTACAATAACGAACTCCACTTTGGCTGCATCTCGGAGAACGTGTGCAGCAACAGCAGTCTCTCTACAACACTGTACGGACTCAACAATGTGTCCTGCTGCGACACGCCCCACTGCAACGTCCCAGGTCTGTTCTTTGTTCTCTGTAACCTGTCTACTTCTCTTAATGCAGGGGTCCCTGGTTTAGTTTAATAATAAAGTAGGGCCGGGACTTTAACGAGTTAATTACGATTAATTACCGCCACAAAAATTAGTGCGTTTAAAAAAAATTAACGCATTTTAATCGCATGTGTTTTTTGGTTGAGTGGATAGCACTCTCGCCTCTCAGCAAGAAGGTCCTGGGTTCGAATCCCGGTGGAAACAGGGCCTTTCTGAGTGGAGTTTGCATGTTCTCCCCGTGTCTGCGTAGGTTTCCTCCGGGTGCTCCAGTTTCCCCTACCACTAAAACATGTCCAATAGGTCTGGCATGCGCCTCCTGTACTGGCCCCTCCCATCTCTGTGTGGAGTGAGAGACTAATGCCCAAAAAATAACAATTGTAAACCGCTTTGTGACTCTGGTCTGTGAAAGGCGGTATATAAAAAGATTACTTACTTACTTACTTAATAACAGGTAAAGTGACTGGTGAATGGCAGAAATAGCAGTGACGAAAGTTACTAGTGAGTTATCAGTGACATTTGTACAAACTCAGCAGTTCCTGTTACACATTCTCGTTGTACAGTCTGACAGCAGCAGGGAGGAAGTACCTGCGAAACTTCTCCCTCACACAGCGAGGATGAATTAGTCTGTCACTGAAGCTGCTCTCCAAAGCAGACAGAGTGTCCTGCAGGGGGTGACAGTCATGGTCCAGCATAGATGTTAGTTTGTCCAGGACCCTCCTGTCCCCCACTTGCTGCACTGTGTCCAGGGAACAGCCCAGGACTGAGCTGGACTTCCTGATGACCTTGTCCAGCTTCTTCCCGTCCCTCTCTGTGATGCTGCTGCTCCAGCAGACCACACCGTACAAGATGGCTGATGCCACCACAGAGTCAAAGAAGGTCTTCAGGAGTGGCCCCTGCACTCCAAAAGACCTGAGCCTCCTCAGACGGTAGAACTGGCTCTGGCCCTTCTTGAAGAGGGCGTCTGTGTTATGAGTCCAGTCCAGTTTGTGGTTCAGATGAACAGCCAGGTACTTGTAAGAGTCCACTCTCTCAATGTACTTTCCCTGGATGTTCACTGGGGCTGGAGCAGCAGAGTGACGTCTGCGGAAATCCGCCACCATCTCCTTGGTCTTCCCCGCGTTGATGAGGAGGTGGTTCATCTCCTTGGTCTACCCTGCGTTGATGAGGAGGTGGTTCATCTCCTTGGTCTACCCTGCGTTGATGAGGAGGTGGTTCATCTCCTTGGTCTTCCCTGCGTTGATAAGGAGGTGGTTCATCTCCTTGGTCTTCCCCGCGTTGATGAGGAGGTGATACCAGTCTGATACCAGTCCACAAAGTCCTGTATAACTCCTCTGTACTCTGTGTCATCGTCCTCGGAGCTGAGTCCGATAATGGCAGAGTCGTCTGAGAACTTCTGTAGAACACAACCGTCCGTGTTGTGTCTGAAGTCCGCAGTGTAGAGGGTGAAGAGGAACGGTGCGAGGACAGACCCCTGGGGGGCCCCACACTGCAGGTCAGGACCTCAGACACAAAGTCCCTGGTTCTCACAAACTGGGGTCTGTCTGTGAGGTAGTCCAGGATCCACTCAGACAGGTCGTAGTCCACTCCAGCTGTCTCCAGCTTGTCCCCGAGAAGCCTCAGCTGGATGGTGTTGAAGGCGCTGGAGAAGACGAACAGAATCCTCACAGCGGGTTTCTCCAGGTGGGACAGGGAGCGATGGAGGAGGGAGATGATGGCGTCCTCAACTCCGATGCCCGGCCGGTAGGCAAACTGCAGCGGGTCCATCGCTGGGCTCAGAGTGGAGCGGAGATGTTCCAGGACCAGTCTCTCCAGTGTCTTCATGCAGTGGGATGTTAGAGCCACCGGCCTGAAGTTGCTGAGGTCTTTGGCCGTGGTTTCTTGGGCACTGGTACCACACAGGAGGTCTTCCAGATCCGACCTCAGCCTGAGGCTCAGGTTGAAGACGTGCCCCATAACCCCGCACAGTTCGTCTGCGCAGGAGCTGAGGAGCCTGGAGCTAACGTGGTCTGGTCCCGCTGCCTTCCTGGTCTTGATTTTCTTCATCACACCTCTCACTTGAGCAGGTGTGAACGAAAGAGTCCATGTGTCTGAGGGAGGACAGAGGTCTGTAATTTTCATCATAGGTACACTTCAACTGTGAGAGACGGAATGTGAAAAAAAAAACAGGAATTCACATTGAAGGATTTTTAAAGAATCTATTTGTAAATTATGGTGGAAAATAAGTATTTGGTCACTTCAAACATGGAAGATCTCTGGCTCTCACAGACCTGTAACTTCTTCTTTAAGAAGCTCTTCTGTCCTCCACTCGTTACCTGTATTAATGGCACCTGTTTGAACTGGTTATCGGTATAAAAGACACCTGTCCACAACCTCAAACAGTCAGACTCCAAACTCCACTATGGCCAAGACCAAAGAGCTGTCGAAGGACACCAGGAAAAGAATTGTAGACCTGCACCAGACTGGGAAGAGGGAATCTACAATAGGCAAGCAGCTTGGTGTGAACAAATCAACTGTGGGAGCAATTATCAGAAAATGGAAGACATAGAAGACCACTGATAATCTCCCTCGATCTGGGGCTCCACGCAAGATCTCATCCTGTGGATGAGGATTGGGAGAATGTCATGTGGTCAGATGAAACCAAAGTAGAACTGTTTGGTATAAACTGAACTCGTCTTGTTTGGAGGAAGAAGAATACTGAGTCGCATCCCACGAATACCAGCTACTGTGTGTGCAAACCTGGTAAAGACCTATAGTAATCGTTTGACCTCTGTTATTGCCAACAAAGGTTCTATTACAAAGTATTGAGTTGAATTTTTGTTATTGACCAAATACTTATTTTCCACCATAATTTACAAATAAATTCTTTAAAAATCCTTCAATGTGAATTCCTGAATTTTTGTTCACATTCTGTCTCTCACAGTTGAAGTGTACCTATGATGAAAATTAGTATTATCGGTGGCTGACTAAATAATAATAATAATAACTTTATTTATAGAGCACTTTAAAAACAACACAGTTGACCAAAGTGCTGAACACAAGTAAAAACACAATATAATATAGAAACATATACAAGAATACAAATTCCACAGAAAGTCAACCCACTGAGTTAAAAGCCAAAGTAAAAAGATGAGTCTTAAGAAGAGACTTAAAAACAGGAAGTGAGTTTGCCAGTCTACTATGCAGAGGCAGACCATTCCACAGTCTGGGAGCTGCTAATGCAAAAGCCTGATCCCCTCTCGACTTCTTTCTGGTCTTAGGGACCACTAGAAGAGGCTGGTCTGCTGATCTTAGAGCCCGTGTGGAGCAGATCAGTCAGATACTGAGGGGTCAATCCATGCAAACATTTGAACACAAGCAACAGAATCTTAAAATCAATACGAAGGTGCACAGGGAGCCAGTGAAGAGAACAAAGAATGGGGGTGATGTGGTCAAATTTGCGCGTTCCAGTTAAGAGTCTGGCAGCAGCATTTTGGATTAATTGAAGGCGTGAAAGTGAGGTTTTACTGAGTCCGGTATAGAGGGAATTGCAGTAATCTAAGCGAGAGGTAATAAAAGCATGGATTCAAATTTCAAAGTTATGACGAGAAAAAAACAATTTTACTTTTGCAAGTCACCTCAGTTGAAAAAAGCTGGTCTTCACAACAGCACTGATTTGGGCATCCAGTTTTAAAGAGGAGTCAATTTTTACTCCAAGATTTGTCCCTACTGGGCTCACAGCCGTGGCCAGGGGGGCAAGCTTAGCAGGAACAGCTGCTGCAGTGTCCGTGGATGAGAAAATGATGACCTCTGTCTTATTGTTATTAAAATGCAAAAAATTAAAAGCCATCCATGTTTTGACCTCATCCAAACATGCAATCAATGACTTGGACTGAGTCAGTGGCACATACAATTGACAGTCATCCGCATAAAAACAAACAACACTATGTTTTCGAAGAAGCTCTCCAAGAGGCAACAAATATAATGAAAACAGTAGAGGTCCAAGCACTGAACCTTGGGGAACCCCGCACGTAAGTGAAGCCATGGAGGACTCAGCATCACCAACCCGGACGGAAAACCTCCTGTCAGTGAAAATAAGACCTGAACCAGGGCAGGGCTACACCTCTGATCCCAACATAATTCTCCAAGCGGGACCACAGTATGTGATGGTCCACCATATCAAATGCTGCAGTCAGATCCAACAGAAGAAGAGCAACAGCGTGCCCAGCGTCTGTAGCCAGAAAAATATCATTAAAACCCTTTAAAAGGGCCGTCTCTGTGCTGTGGCCGGCTTTAAAACCTGACTGAAAGGTCTCCAAAATACCATTACTGTTTAAAAAATCTGAGTTGCATAGACACAATTTTCTCAAGCATTTTTGACATCAAAGGGAGCTTAGAAATAGATATTTATGAGCTAAGCAACTATCGACCTAAGTTTGACTTCTTTAGCAAGGGCTGCACTATCGCATGTTTAAAGCAAGAGGGAACAACTCCACTGGCCAGACTTCCATTAAGAATGGACAGAACATAAGGTTCCAATAGAGGAAACAGTTCTTTAAAAAGACGAGGGGGGATCACATCATTAGGAGAGCCTGTAAGTTTAATTTGATCCATTACTTTTACTAGTAATGGCAAAGCAACTGGTTCAAATTGGTCAAAAACAACAGAGCAAGTTGTAGGAGTGCCAGGATCATAATTAGGATGGGAGATCAAAGCCCTAGTGCTGGCAACCTTGTCAATGAAAAAACTTAAAAATTCTCACACAATTTTGGAGCGTTTTCAGGACAGGGCTGTTGTGGGGAATCAAGAGCTTTTTAAACAGTTTCAAAAAGAACTCTTGGATTGTGAGCATTAGAAACAATAATATCAGAAAAATGACTTGTTTTAGCTGCTCTAACAGTGTTTTGGTAAGAGCGCCCACTAGTTTGCATTATCTGAAAAGATACTTGAAGTCTGTCTTTCATCCACTGTCTCTCAGCTTTTCTGCTCTAGCGTCAGGCAGCGCGCGTCACTTCTTTCAGCCAAGGCTCAGATTTACGTCTAGAGGGCTTATTTTT